CCTGCATTCCCCTACCTAAACACACTGCTGCGAATTTTGACCACTCGCTGCATGATGCAAGCTGTTTACTTCTGCTCGGGAATGGATAATGATTTTCATCACTATGGTTTAGCTTCACCTATTTATACTCACTTTACCTCACCTATTAGAAGGTACTTGTATTTTATGAAAGTTTCAGAGAAAAGAAAGTGGTGGTGTGCAGGAGAAGGGTTTGGGAATCAAGAGACAACTCAGTATGAGTTAGCTACTTGTTCCGTTATGATTGGATAATTGCTGTTTTTCACGCAGTAGTTTCTACAATATTATTGGTCCAGCTCATAACACCCGAGCTCCTTAAGATACTTTTAGCAGAACTCATAAGATACATTAAGGAGGCTATATAAGATACATTTTGCAAGTTTCACATCCTGAATTCTCATCCATACTTCACATCCTGAGTTCCCATCCTATTCATTGTCACATTAGCACTTAGTTTTCCTCTTATCTTTAGCACAATGTTGTGCCAAGGACTCATGCTAACTCAAAGTCAGGGTTGTGCAGGCCTTCAGAGGAGCTATGGCCTCGAGAAGCAAGCCATTCTTCAACAGTGTTGTCCATTAAAGTTTCTTTTCAGCATTAGATTTCAATTGAAACAGCAGTGGCTTACATAGTGGCCCATCTTCATTTACACTCCCAGGTTTACTGTCCACAACTCCTAGGGTTTAGTAACATTTAAAAAAAAAAATGCAAAAATAATAGGAATACATATCTAATGCACATGTCTGGCATAGAAACGCACTTGGGGTCATTTAGCATTAGTCTTAGACTGGGGCAGAGTTTGCTCAGCCATTTTTGAGATGGAAACTGTTTAAATTTTGAGGAGACTGTATTTTCCATATGAAAACACTGGTAATTGGGAACTTGTTATTGGCAGCTATTGTGTGCAATGAAATCATACTTCTTGGAAAAGTATGTTAAGATTTTTCTCCTGACCAAGAAGTCACTGAGTTTTGAAGAAAATAATTGTTATCATGTGCCTTAGAAAACTTTTCAAGTGGAATTTCTTAGATGTGGATTAAAATTCGTCAGTATTTATTTCTATGGATAATTTGTGGAACTTCTGGGAGTCCAAATGGTACATTTTAGTTCTTACCAGATGTATGAAAAAGTTCCTTGCTGAAGTTCAAATGTGATTATACTTCACAGATCTATGGCATTGATATACTATTCTGCACTAAATTCATCTAATTTCATGGGAGAGGGAAGAAGGATTGGCTTAAAATGCCATGGTGAAAGATCATTCTTAAGTCCAAAAATACAACTTTGTTTCTTTTTCTGGCACAATAAAGAATTTATCTTAGCAAACATTTTAACAGTATTCTGGCTCTGCAGTGTATCTTTGGTCAGAAAAGAGATGGATGCTGAATTAATAGAGGGAGTTGCCAGCAGACCATCATTATTACAAAACCTTAAATCTGTAAGTCACAAAAACAAATGTATGTTCAGAAACTTTTTTATTAATTTTGAAAATCTATGTCTTACTGTGTCATTGATGATTTTAACCTCATCCTTGCAGGTATGCTGATATCATAGTCCATCGGCTTTTGGCAGTGGCCATAGGAGCAGACAGTACTTACCCAGAACTCACAGATAAACACAAACTGGCAGAGATGTGTAAAAATCTCAATTATCGACATAAAATGGCACAGTATGCACAAAGAGCCTCTGTGGCATTCCATACGCAGGTAAGTAGTTCTGGGATGTTATGTTGAATTATAGACACTGCTAGGGCAAAACCAAGCAAGAGAGCAGAAATTTTAAAGGCTGAGGGATGCTTCTGACAAAAAGTTTAAAACATTGCTTGCTCTGAAAAATTCAGAATGGCATCTTCAGGATTCTTTTAGTTCTGTGCTTTTATAAATATGAATGCTTAATCCTACAGTAATGTTATAAATGCTTTATGTGATTTTTTTAAAATCTGCTTTCAGGATATGCTGTGTAATTATCACTAAGTATAGATGCGTATTTCACTGTTTTAATTTTCTCAGAGTGTATTTGTAATTCGAAAGAGAATGTTATAGTGCTTTATTTTTCTGATCTGTATGTTTTGCTTTTGTTACAGCTGTTCTTCAAAACCAAGGGAGTAGTAAATGAAGATGCATATATATTATTTGTAAGAAAAAATGCGATTGTGGTTCTGATTCCCAAGTATGGGTTAGAAGGAACAGTCTTCTTTGAAGAAAAAGACAAACCAGCACCAAAACTGGAGTACAACAGTGAGGTACGTTCTTACTATTATTTGTTCTTAAACAATTTTATTTTCTGATTTGGTAAGCAAGCAGAATGACTAAAATCTATTCTAGTTGGATTTAGAAGGGTAAGAGAGGCTTTTCTAAGTGCAAGTTCATTAATCTCTAGTAGTAATGTCACTATAGTCTTTCCAAGTCTAAATAAGTAGGTTCTGACAGGAATTTGTTTCTATAATAGGTAGTACTGACATCTAATTACCTGATTAATTACTGCAAAAAATGTATGTACCACATATTACAATACTGAATATTCACTACATTAATTTTTGGTTATTTTTATTTACATGTAACAGTAATATTTTCATACAAAAATATTTACTTGTATAAAAACATAAGCTGTTGCAAATAGTGAGTATACAAAATTTGAACTTTCAGGTGCCATCACTTACTGTGGAAGACACAACATTACATATGTTTGATAAAGTTAAAGTGAACATTATGTTAGATGATTCCAACATCCAACATCAGAAAATGCGGATGGTCTTGGTAGAACCCAAGGTAAGGCACAGAGTTCTTAGAACCATATTATCCTTCAGTAATGTTAAAAAATCATTATGTGATATAATTGAAATTTAACCCAAAAGAAAAAACAAAACTTAAAACCAGCTTGTAATGACTGCTTCATATCCACTCTCAATAAAACACAAGTCTGCTTTCACTGGCTGTTGAAAGGAATAGAGCCTTCTAAATTAAACTTACGTTTTGGGCCCATCAGGATAGTTCCACTGTTGACTGATGATTCTCTGAAGTAATGCATTGAATTTCACAGTTGTGTAATCAAATGTCCCTCTGAAAATCTGCCAATATTCAGCAGGATCTTCCCTTTACTCCAGTGAAGTACAACTGTGATGGGTGGCTCAGCTCTGTATAATTGCTGGGTGTCAATGGTAGTTCTGTCTTACAACTCCCACAATATAAAAATTCTCTCTTCATAATGTTGTAAGAACTGTAATGTCCTAATAACTGCCTCTAATCTCTAGACTTTTCAGTTCTAGCTTTGTGCATTTAGGACACTGAGATTTGCAATTGTTCTCATACTTTAGGCCTGATAAGTATTTTGCATGACATTACAAAATTCTACTCTTAAAGTACCTGTATCTTTCTTGGTAAACAGGTGGTTGCAGCAATGAGTATCCCTTATCAGAGGAAAGAAAGATAACCCAAAATAAGCAACAGGTTCTTTATGTTTATACAGTTAAATATGATTACCTTTTTCCTTGAGAAATTATGCTTCCAAACACGTAAATATATTCTAATATTCTTGGTGTTGTATGAGTTTGAACCACAGAATGGTTTGGGTTGCAAAGACCTTTTAAAGAGCATTAGTTCTAACCCCCCTGCAATAAGCAGGGACATATTTGATGAGATTAGGTTGCTCAAAACCCCATCCTAGAATACTTCCAGGGATCTAGCATCCACATCTTCTCTAGGAAGCCTGTTCCAGTACCTCATCACTCAGAATAAAGCATTTTTTCCTGATACCTTAACTAAACCTACCCTCTTTCAGATGGGGGCAGGAGGAAGCCATTCCCCCTTTTCCTGTCACTGAATGCCCTTGTGAAAAGTCCCTCTTTAGCCTTCTTGTAGGCTCCCCTTTCAGGTCCTGGAAGGCTGCTCAAAGGTCTCCCTAGTGAACAACCCCAACTCTTACCAGCCTTTCCTCACAGAGAGCTGCTTCTTTCAGCCCTCTGATCATTTTTATGGCCCTCCTGTGGACTCACTCCCCCAGATCCATGTCCTTCCTGTGCTGGCACCCCAGAGCTGGATGCAGGGTTTCAGGTGGGGTCTCAGCAGAGCAGAGATGCAGAATCCCCTCCCTGGCCCTGCTGCCCACGCTGCTCTGGATGCAGCCCAGGACACCTTTGGCTCTCTGGGCTGGGAGTGCCCATGGCTGGCTCATGTCCAGCCTCTCACCCAACAGCACCCTCAGGTCCTCCCCAGCAGTGTGCTCTGATCTGTCCACCCCTTAAGTCTCTGTTGAGTTGAATCCCTGTGATTTCAAAAACTGAGTAGACAAAAATTGGAGCAGAGAGGAGCCCTTCTATTCTGTTGTGCTGCTGAGCTGCTCTCTGCTTGTGCTCACCAACTCTAGCTTCTCAGGAGCTTCTGTTGTAGGTGTGTCTCCAGTCTGAGGGACACTTTGGAAACAGACACAATATAAGGCTAATGCAAGCTCATGCTTGGGGTGCTAACAACCTGTTGGCTTTGTCAGGAAGGTGTCCTGCTGCTTCTCTTTGCCTTTTTTTTTTTCAGTTTTTAATTTCAGGTGAGTGTTCTACCTGTGACTATTCTAAGATGGTAGACACCTTTTAGGTGTTTATCTAAATCAGAAATTTGACACAGTGTTTGTAAAAGGTCTGTACAAGTAAACTCAAGTTTTACCAGGATAGCAAAACCTGAATGAAAATGTTCTGACTTATGTTCTTTTCTTCCTGTAGATAAATGATGTGCCTGCACATCTCTCTGCAGAGGCAAGCAGCAAGGATGAACCAGAGAAAAAGAAAAAGAAACTACAAAAATAGCTGGATACAAAAGAAGAAATCACAAGTACTTGCATTTACATATTTTTTCCCTATGGGCAAAAAATGCTAGAAGCAGGTTTTGTTTATTTTTTAAATACACATTTTAATAATCTATAAAGAATTTTTTTTAAAGCTACTTTTTTATGACTGTGAATGCAGAACAAGTTTTAAAATAGTGTAAATCTACACCTTTGTCCTGTGGGTGAAAATAAATATTTCTGTAAAATGAAGAAACAATTGTAGAGTTTCTTGTTAACAGCCAGCCTTAAGGAAGGTTTGAGAGTCTGACAGAATTCTCTGCATTCTCTTTAGCACCTCAGAACTAGAAGAAGTAATTAAACAATAAAACAATAGGTATTAAAGAAATGTCTTTATTCTGTTTCACTACTCAATTTACAATTAGACATGTTAAAGGACTCTAATTAAAACTACTAGTATTAATTTAATGTAAACAATGACCATTTTGTGCAAGGTGTGCCAACCACTGCATTAACAATAACAGAAACAAAATGGTGAAGTGATTTCCATGGTAATTTGCACAGCAGGTTTCTTCTACAAATCAGTTGTACAAACATAATAAAAAAATAAGCATGTTTTCATAAAATAAATATTTCCCATCTAACTGAAGACTACAAAACAGGACAAAAAATACAGGCAATCCAGGTGGGAGCATCCTTACTCACTTCTCACATTCACCTATTTCTGCTCTTACATTTTTCTTACCTTTAAGAAAATACTAATACAGGATGAAGTTAAATACTTAAGGGATGGCTTTTTTTACTTGTGAATACTTCAAAAGCCTCTGATCATTGAACACATTATAAAAACAAAAGATTTAGTTAAAAAGTAAATCTTAATTATACACGTAACTCAGAAAAATTCAGAAACAGATCATAATTTGGGCTGCCCTGCTTAACATTCATTAAATTTACATTACTATTTTAGTAATCACAATTGCAAAAATAAATGCTTTGTACAGTCCTTTCAATTGCTTATCATTGAAGTTATCATGAGAAACAGAAATAACACAAGGTCATACGTAACTTTTAAATCTCAAACAAGTTTTATCCTGCTTCTGAGTGACAAAACTTAAAAGCTAAAGCGAAGAACATTTTGAAGGCCCTATTCTATCAGGTTTGTTTTCCAGAAGTCTGAGTTCATTGCCTACTTTTAACAAAATTTATCCCTTGACAGTTACCAATTCAGTGTATTTCAGCTTCTAGTAGGGCACTGTTTGAAGATCATGAAATAGCTACTCTATGACACTCGATTCCATTACATTGACATTCCATGTCAATCCCATGCATTTCAGAAATAGTGATTAAATTGCTACAGAAGTAAAAGTAAGGCACATTATGTTTGCTCATTAGATTTCTAAAGTAAATTTTTAAATATTTATTTTTGCAATGTGAGAACTACAATCAAGTGATGCAGACAGACATTTCCTTTTCTGAAATATGCTTCTCAGAAAGTCTTCACTAGGAAATTATAAATGAAAATATTTCAAGAACTGTTCTATTCAAACAACACACAACTCTCAGGTCTAACACACTGATATTAATGCCAAGAGATTCTGCTCACACCTCCCCTTTTAAGATTTTTTTAAAATGCTGTCTTGCCTTCACATTTAGACCTGACCAATGTGACTAATGGGTTTCAGGCCTAGTGTGCCAACAGCTGCTCATCAGCCACTGTCACTTTGGTACAAGCTTTTCTGTGGGTTGTGGAATAGAACAGAATGCAGAATTTCCATCCAGTATCCTAGGACATCATTGCTATGAAAAAAGAGGAAGACTGCTTTACCTGGAACACTTGTTAGAATGGACTTCCCTTTTTCATTAATCCAATGAAGTTTACCAGAGCTCTACATAAACAGCCTGGAAATACCAGTGTATCCCATACCTCTTCTTTCCCTCTTGGTCACTAGGGCCACAAGATTACCATGTGGATATTTTTCTCCCTATTTACACATATAAATTCCAGAAGGTTCTTTTAAACAAATACAAGCAAATTCAACCAAATCTGATTTGATTACATAAATGGAGTTCTTGGCTTCTAACCCCCCCTGCCCAGTCCATTATTTGAATTAATTGATTTTGTTTTTTAAAGGATCGAAGCTTTGCTTGTATTAATATTTTTGGTAATAAATGGCACGCAAAAAGTTCATTATATTTTTAAAGGGTTTATCTAAGTATATTGGTAATTTCTGTAAGCAACATAATAATAGTAGGAATTAAATATATAAGTAAAAGTGTAACAATTTACTTTTATAGAAGAAAAGCATTTTCTTAGTGATGTACTGACACCAATGAATCTTATTCCACCTTCCTAAAAAGGTACACTTACAAAGAGTACCAGAGCATCAATTTGGACACAAGTGTTCTTCAGAGACACTGGTAGTGTCAGGTGATCAGCTCCAAGTTTAGTACTAATATAAATTCCAAAGCAGCAACACTATCTTTTAATTTTAAGGTAACCAATAATACATTTTACCTAAGTATCTAGTAAACCTAACTGACATGACAGATTTCTGTCAAACCAAGGAAAAAGCTGTTTGGAGAATTGCTAAACAGCTTCTTTTGACATAAAGCTCATTTTACATTTCTAAGAGAACTAAACTTGGCATCTGCTCTCATCACACCCCAGCAGTTCACTTCTGTCCAGTGACTTACTCTTGGTACTAGTGGTAGTATTTATGAAGTCATACAATATGTCTGGAGAAAAGCAATCCAAAACCAGACTAATACCCTTTTCACTTTTTCTTTCCCACAAAGAAGAATGCCTTTCATGCCTTTTAGGAGGGACAAATCTTAAAATATAGGTGATTTTGCAGTTATACTGGTTCCTATGCAAGTTATCCTAAGCTGCTCATGGAATCCACCCTAGTCACAGAAGGAATACAATTCTAAAAAAACCCTATTGTTTCTCTGTACCAAATCTAGACACCTTATTTTTCAAAAAGGATCACTTAATAACACCAATAAATTTCTTAGTAAGACCTGAAAAATCCCACATTATTTAAAAACTTCCTTAATATATACCTAACATTTGCATTAGAAAAGCAGAATAGCTTGTATAATCCAAGTAACTGAGGTCATATGTATAAAAATTTATTAGAAACCACAGCTTAAGTTCTCCATAAGAAAACTACATACCAGTTTTGTGAAATCCCTGAACTTGATTTTCATTTTTATGTTTCCAAGCAGAAATGTTGCAAGTTGCATTTTGACCAAATACTGTGCTATGTGTTTTGGCTTTCTGAAAACAGGATTGCTTCTCTGGAGATTTTGTTCTCAGCAATTGATTGTCCTTATGGCTTAAAACAGAACACTCCTAAGGGAATAAGAAGAAGTTAATTTTAAAACCATTTTCACAGAAATTCTCCAAAAGAAATAGATCCGAGTTTACTATCTGCAAATTTCAATTATATAAAGTACCTCAAGTACCAACTCTATCCTTCTGAAATGAGAAAGAAATAAAGTAACACATTTTCTCTACAGAGATCTTTGAAACGTGCTGTGCACGAACTATCTCATTTCAAGGGCTCACATGAATGTCTGAATGAGCCAGACTTGAATCTTTCAGTCAGCAATGTCTGTGCTTTTTTTTTATTTTATTTTTTTTATTCCCTGGGGATTCTCAGTTTTAAGATGTGAATGAAGCGCTTAATGCCTTCACACTTTACTCCTAATCTAAAATGCAAAATTCGGTTTAGTCAGGAGCCAGCACTTCAAAGACTAATAGTGGGAAAAGGCAGCTACATGACATTGGCAAGTAGCTCTAGGATGGGTTTGATACCAATTGATTCTGGTAAGTACATGCACACATAAAATCCATGTCCAACGGGGTGACTGGAACAGGATCTTTGAGTATTTTTAGATGTTAATGACAAAATATCTATCTATTGTTCTTGTATGGGCACATTTGTCCTAGTCTTAAATGAACAGAGTTTAAAATTTGATGTCAGTGGTCTGTAAGACACCATCAGTCTACACTTCCCCTTGGCAGAGAAGTGGCTTTTAGCATGTCACATCAAGAAGTGAAGTCAGGGCTAACTAGGTTTAGGTTTACTTGATTTTTTTTATCATCTGGCACTAATGGTCAGTACAGTGTCCCCCTGAAGGACTTTCTAGACATAGCAGACCATAAACTACTAGGTTTGTAGCACCATGTGACCATATTTACTGAGAGGAGATGATCTTTGCTCTCTTCTCCAAAGAAACTAGCCTTGTTTCCAATTCTCAGGAGGAAGTAGAACTCTTTCCTATCAGTCACAAGATTAAGAGGTTGCTAGATAAGGCATTATCTTTTGTAATGTGTTTTCCAGCTAGGTCCTCAAAAGGCTTGTAACCAAAAGGATACCCACACAGAAATTTCCCCACCAAGTCAACATGCCAGGTATGGTATGGACTTGACGCTAAGTTTATAAAAATCAGCAGCAAACAGATTTTTCCCAGAAATGCCCTTCTCCACAGGCACGTGTTTAAAACAATAAATAAAGCAGCAAAGAACAAAAAGAAACAGAAAGAAAAAAAGAAACAAAAATTAGAGACAGACTACAATAGTCATGAGCAGTCTCATTACTACTACTCATGCATATACCTCAGTTTCCTCTAATTCCTACCTTTGTTCTGAGCAGCTGAGATTTATTCTGAAACATAACAGTATTCACATCGTTTTCTTTGCAACTGTTTTCAGCCTCTGCAGTATCCATAATGCTGTTTCCACAAGTCTGTGTATTGTAACCACTGTCCACCTAAAATCAAAAAGCAGGGCTTGAAAAATTTCAACACAAATAAATCCCTCAGATACCAGATATGATTTGCATTTGATTAACAGAACTTAATCCAACAAACCAACTATGACTGGCTAATAACAAAAGCAAATTGTAAGCAGGTCTGTCAGCTTTAGTTTGGATTAAGTTAAATATACTACTGTACATAGCAATGCAAAAATAATGGCTATGCTAACTCCACTGAAAGAGGAGATGGAGGGAAGGGGTAAGTCATGATACTGCCTGCATGCCATAACAAATAAGAGAAAATTATTTCCAGATTAGTATACATATTCCATGTCAAGCTCAGTTTTACAGAGAAACAAAAAATAAATATTTTTACCTGAATACTACTGTTGTCACAAGGAATCGCACTGCTTTCTGCAAGAGGTGACATGCACATGCGAGAGCTTTCAATACTGAAAGTAATGCCTGTCATAAAGCTGGTCATTGGTGTATTGCTACTGCCAATTGTTTCTTTTATCCAAGTGTTTCCCTCTGACACTTCAGCAGCATCAGCCATGTCTACAGTATTACTTTCCTTTAAGCCTTCTATATCCTGAAATGATGACAACCTTTGATGACAGCCTTCTGAGTGATCTGGTGCAATAGACACAGTTGCCACCACAAGATGTGTACCACGTGCAAAAGTATCATTGCCTTCCTGATGTAAGTTTATTCCATTATCCATTTCTGGGAACCCAGCTTCTGCTGAAGAAGTGCTTTCCTTGTCTTCCTCATCTTCATCACGATTCTCAACTGCAATTGGTATTCTAATGACAGAAGTCTGATATTGGGCAGTTCCTCTACAGGTTCCAAGCCTCATAGGAGAGCAATTTTTAATTGGAGAACAACCATCTATGTAAGGACTTCTTGTACTTGTTGGGGGTGTCATTCTATTGGAGGAAGAAGAAATATCTGGAGAACGAAATGTAAATTTTCTTTGGTCTGAAAAAAAAAACAAAGTTTAATTCAACCTGATATCTGACAGAAAAACTCATCATTCTCAAGGCCCTACAGTTGACTGAATAATTTATAGCCAGCTACAGATTATTTCACTGACAGCTGCTTCCCAACCCAACTAAACAAGCAACCCTGAAAACCAAACCTACCATCCATACATTTCAGCTACCATGGTAAAAGGTAAGTTTTCATCCCACCAAATTTCTATGACATGATTTTCTGTTTTGGAGACCTTGTATTTTGAAATGTCATTACTAAACAGTATTGAAAAAAAAATGGGTGAAGGCTGGTTCTATGGTTTTTTCCTCAAAAAATGTCAATACACAATCTATAGGCATTTAAATTTTTGGCAGCAATGAAGTTTAAGATCAAACAAGTGAGAAAATATCTGTGCAATCTCCATATATAATGATGTAAAATACCATTAATCAAAATGTGTAAAAGTCATGTGTAAATATGCATAATCATGTCAAAGGTATATAATCATCTATAAACAAGGCATTAAGCCTTACCAGGTATGGACACAGCATGAAACAGTGACATTTTCTAGAGCAAGGAGGACACAAAATGTTTGTGATTTCTTCATTAGTTATTTCATGTCAAGTAATCTTTATGATGGCATGATTTGAAAGTTCAAGCTGAACATTCTTTGCCCATTGAACATGAAAATGCTTCAGACTGGGCCAAATCAGAATTGTAACCTGACAGTTCAGGCATGTGGCTTTAAAACCCACACTCAAATTAACCCTTTTAACTTTTCTTCATTCTTGTTGGGTCTCAATGCCTTCTTTCAAAATATTTTCCCTAGCTGATCAGTTGCAAGCATACACATTTCATTGTTTCACATATTTTACTGCTGAACAGCCAATGTGTCACATAAGAGACTGCTGGTCTGCCAAGCACAGGAATTCATCTCCAAACAGAAAAAGGGTCCACTAAGAATTTAGAAGTTTTTATAATAAAATATATTACTCAAGAGAAAGTAATACAAATCCAGTTAAACCATACCTGAGAGTGGGGTTTTTCTTATGTGAAAAGCAATTGGTGAAAAAGCAGGAGAACCATTATGTGCAGGAGACCCCTCTGAAAACGGCGGACTGGTTATACTTCCCAGACTATAAGCTCTTGTTCCTCCCTGAATAGGACTTGATGAAAACTGAGCCTTCAATTAAATAAAAAAACAAACCCACAGAACATTAATTTTGTAACGTAAACTGTAGCACATGTACATATATAATTGTTCTAACTAAAATGCTTAATATGGCAGCACTGGGAAAGACTAATCCTTTACAATGACAATCTCTAGTTTAGCTTAAACATTCCAATTACAGCTTTTCACCTGGGCCTTATGCCAAAATACAGGGGAAAAGAGCAATGGACACAAACTGTCACATAATAGCAGCTATGACTACTTTATCCACTATATTTAAGAACTATGAGAAACTAAATAGAGAATTAATGCTGTGTATCTAGTCAAGTGTTGAATCTAAATTTCTTATTTGTATCACTGCAGATGAAAGTCAGCCACTATTTATATCTTAAAGTAATCCAATCTGCTTAATTCAGCAGCAGATACAAAAGTGTTTGTCTTCAAGACAATGACCTTGCTTAAGACTATGATGCAAACAAACAAAAAAACAAAACAAAAAAACAACCAACCAACAATAAAAAAACCCAGACCAAAACCCACCCCTTCACCCCCCATCACTTCTAGCACTATAATTATATTGTAAGAATTCTTTACTAGGTTACATTTTGTTATAAGATACACTATCCTAGTGCAGGTAGGTTTTTTTCCATGCACTTCAAACCACCAAACAGATGAAAATATATCACCTAAACCAGTTTAGCTGTGCTAAGTCCACATGGGGATAAGGTTCATCTTGTTTAATTTAAAAAATGGACATTACATTCTGTGTCCTAATAAATGTCTATTCATCTGAAAACGCTGGCCAGTGCGAAAGAAAAGGCATATTTAGCACTGCACTTCAAAGATCCACAAATCATTTCTTTCACTATAAATGAGTTTATGAGATTTAAAGGAAATACAATTATATCACATGTTCATATCAACTGGTATTGTAGGCAGCAATTCATGGATTTAAACAGGACTTTTTTTGTAGACACATTTTATGAAAAAAATAAAGAAAGGTTTTAACATGCTTTCAGCAAGTCTTCTATATGTATTAATTCCTACTTCCTTTGCATAACAAAATGAAAACATAATTCCCAATACAAAAGAAGAGCAGCATAACAGAGTTACTGGAAGTAATAAAAAGTCCAGTTAAATAAAAAATAAAAATAATAAAAGAAATAAAATTAATATAATAAATAAAAATATAATAAATATTTTAAAATAGGAAATAATTAAAATAATAATATACAAAATAATAAATACATTCTTTCAAGACTTTTGTTCACATAATTTTTTCAGAATTTGAAAAAACCCCCAAAAAAAAATAAAAAACCCCAAAATTTTAGTCTAACACCTACTCTCACATAAAGTAAATCCCACCCAGCCCAGAAAACAGGCTACTTACTGAACTAGATGTGTCCAGGGGGCTTCTGCACCGGACTGGAGATAATTCTATTGAACAAAGCACTCCAAGTGGCTGACTACCATGTGGACTATGCAGAGAAGGGGATAAACATGCAGATACGTTCCCATTTTCTTCTAAAAACAGCTTTCTTCTGAGTGATGAAGAGCTTAGATTTTCCTGAGACTGATCTGCAAATTCATCAGTTCTAAAATATTCACCTAGAAATGTGGGGGGAAAATTATTTCCAATACAAATACAGAAAAAAACCCAAAAACATTCCATTACAGATATATATACAATTAAATTAAAACACTTAATCTAATTTATCAATATAGCAACTGTTTAGGCACCTATCCCAAAGGATTGCTTGTCATCCCTACAAGAAGTCACCTCTGTCTACTAAGGTTTGTTCCACTTTTGCCTATCATCCCTTAATACAAAAGTCTGAATTTAAAAAAAATAAAAAATACTGGCTTCTATCTACTTATTGATCTTTCCCCAGAATTGTATTAATCATCACATCTAAGCTGTCAAACAGAAGTTACTACCCAAGAAAACCAAGACTTTTTCAGGTCCCCCATATGCTTTGATAATCTTCATGATACATCTATTGTGGCAAACCAGTTAGACTTGAAGAAAGTCCAGGCAGTTAGCTGTTTACAGTAGGAAAGCACAAACTAAGACCCATCAAAAAATCCTCAGATTCACCAGATTATTTTAGTTTTTTTCATCTTGTTCTACTGGATAGTCCCTGTAGGAGAATTTTTTCATGAACTCCCAAACTATGTAATGATGGAAGCATTTGTTAAGATAAAAAACAAAGGCAAAAAATATGGTTCTGTTTTGTTGGCCCACAGTCAGGGTTCTGAATTTCAGTACTGGGATAAGTGCATGCAGCCAAAATGCTGTGAGCTGGCTGTACCCACTGTTCCCACCTCTGAGCTGCAGGATCAGGCCCTTCCAGCCCCCTTGCCTGAGAAGGTGGCAGCAATTCCTTCACGTAGCACTTCTAATCTGACAGTTAATTTGGACTCCTGGCTCCTCACTCAGCAGTCATGGCTTTTTGCCACCACACAACTTCTAGTCCCCATCATGGTTTCCGGTACACTAAAGCCAGAGTTACAGCTCAGCTTTACTCAAGGCAAGGTTGGGCTTTAAGACTCCTGGCCAGCACCTGTAAACCAAACAGCTCTTCTGAGACAAATTACTGCTCTGTTTGGAGAGGCACAGGCTGTCTTCTGCTCATTAGCTTTCAGGCAATCAGAACTGTTAATCAATTTCATAGAAACATAGAGCATTCTGAGTTGGGACACAAAGGGATCATAGAAGTCCAACTCCTGGCCCTGCAGAGGAACTCACAAGAGTAACACCATGTGCCTGAGAGCATTGTCCAAATGCTCTTGAACTCTGCCAGCCTGTTGCTGTGACCACATCCCTGAAGAGCCTGTTCCAGTGCCCAAAAACCCTCTGAGTGAAGAAACTTTTCCTGATAGCCAACCTAAACCTCCCCTGACACAATTTCAGGCCATTCCCACAGGTTCTGTCACTGGCCACCAGAGAAAAAAGATCAATGCCTGCCCCTTCTCTTCTGAGGAAATTGTAGAAGGCAAGGAGGCCTCACCTCAATCATCTGCAGGCAGAACAATTTCCGACTGTCTTCCATATCCCTCCTTTTTTTATCTTTACATTCACACCCAAACCATATTATTTAAGCCACATGTCCCATGCAACATGCAGTAACTGTATATTTAGAATACATAATTAAAACTTTCATTCATACATCTCATTTTCAGTATTTCACAAGACAAGTATTTCACAAGCCAACAATACAAAAACAAGTTTTCTATTTAGACATTCATAATTAAATTTAGATATTGCATGACATACCAAGTATTTTCTCTAAATTAAAATCCACTGGCAAAGTCAGTACTGTCTGACAAGCAGCTGAAATGAATAAAACCAACAAAATTAGCTTACAGTGACCTTTTACTAAAGCTGTAGAAACAAAAATTCACTTTCAAATTGCACTGCAATTGAGCTATTTAAATTACAATTGCAATAAGAAAAAGAGTTAATTAAAGTACAATTCTGATTTGACAATGCTACATGCAGCACATAAGAGACAAAAGCCCAAGAGTTTTTAAAATGCCTCTCTAGAGACTTTTATGTTAACTGAGAAGAGAGATCTCTCTGAAGAAAGGAAGGATTCAAAGGGAAGCAGTAGAAAAAATCAAAATACCTTGGGGAAAAAAACTTATTATTTATCTAAAATGATGCAGTTTAAAAGACATATTAAGAGTTCTGATATTTATTTGTCATAGAAAATAATCATGATTCTCTACCCAGAGCAATCCAATATATTAAAAGTTTTTCGAAACTGTAATTTACTTGTAAATCTGAAGCTCACATGCACTTTTTAATCCAGAAAATATACAGACACTGAGTTGGAAAAAATGCATTCCACAGTCTACAGGCGACTTTTTTTTTTTAACTTGAAAAACTACAACAGAGTATAAAAGAATTAAATTCCTATGAGAAATGGATATTAAAGTTAATAGTACCATACAGTTTCAAGAAAAACTATTTCTATGGTAGCACGAATAAACAAATAATTTCCTTTTGAAATTAAATAGCCATTAAAAATAGGTTATTTTTCTTCAGAGAAAGCCTGTCATTTTAGGCATTGCCTTTTACTCACCATTGCTTTTCCCAGGCTGCAAGCTCAGCTGTCTTCCAATCGGAGAAATGTTATTTATATCTATGGCTGGAAAACATAGAACTTAAATTTAAATATGCTCTTCATGTAGTTTTGAAATGTAGCAAAATTAAATTAGAATACTTAATACAACCAAACAAAATTTTTGCATTGATATTTGGAAAAGATTAGAAAGGAGTACTGAGAAAAGGTTACTGTTACAGCTATCAAGAGAATTTCAGCAGGTTTCTATTCAAAAAAAGCTTAGTGAAGTAGCATCAACACTGCCTAAAACTTTATCTCCTGCTGTCTCTACATGACAGGGATTTAAAACAAACTAGTTCATGCTTAGCTAAACAGGCTGTGTTCAAGTAAAACACATTTCCAGAAAATCATTCAGTCTGGACTGGAGAAAGGTGATGACACACTTCAACTATTTTTATGCAGCTAAAGAACACACTAGACCATTTTCTTCCAGCATTCATTTTACCAGATTTTGGATTATGCCTTATGTTCTCTGCCCTTGAAGTGACCATCTTACAACAGACAATTAAAATATACTATCCATAAGCAATATCTCCTTGCTAAAAAAAATTAACAGCTTAGCCTTTTCCAAATCTCGCAAAAATCCCCATTTATTTAAGACTTTCATATCAAACAACAGGGCATGCAAACTATACTTTATAGCCCACATCTTCCATCTTGTAACCCATTTGTTCTGTATTCTACTGGTTATATATAAACTTCAATAACAGCATTAAGAACAAAATCCCCACAACTAGTGGCAGTGAGCTAGCAGGATGACAACAGGAATTTATGCTACTAGTAAGGGGAAAACAATACAGAATTCAAATTCCAATATGCTTATATGGTGAGGAAAGCAGTTGAAATAAGAGGAAAAGTGAAAATATCTGAAGAAAAAGGTGAAGTAGACTAGGCTGTTGCCAATACAGCTGAGAGTTATAGATACAAAGTTATGTGTGTAAATTAAAACCAATGCAGACAGATTATCAGAGTGAAAAATTAAAGAACAAAGACCAAGAATAACAAAAAGGAAAAATTATTCAAGACTTTCAATTAATAAATAATTTTTAAACAAAGAAACTTAGAGACAACAGCTGAAAATCAATCAGTTGTGCCATATTTTATCATTGCTTCTTCAAATTTAAATTGAGGTTAAAAAAGAACTATGCTTGATAACTTCTCCAAAAGCTGTATTATTTTGGGTGCACAGAAAGGCAACTTACATTTAGTTGAATTAAATTGAGAAACTTCCTTGCTTTCATGTTCAGTCCAAGGAGAAGGAACTATGAGTTTTTTTGTGAAAAACTGGAGTAGAATAAAAACAAACCATCTCAGCACTTTTTAAAATTTTCAATTTAAATTTAGACTAGTACCCTGAACAAGAAAAAAAAGTAGAACATTTCATTATTTTAGGCCCAAAGAGGTTAAAGAAAAAACAATTTGATTTGAAGACCCCTATGTTCTTTTGACACAATGCCTCAGATCTTTCAAGTCTGCAGAGTGAAAACTATAGAAGTTTCATTTAACAATAATTACTCATTTTGAAAATTGAATTATCACTACCATGCCTCTTGCATAGTAGTTTAAAAATAATTATTTTTAAATTTTCAGTCTATTAAGCTTTATTTGACAACTGAGCTATTTCACAGAAGTGACAGACACTGCTGTAACAGTAAAAATGATAAACCAAGGCTTTTTGGCAACATTATTAGTGTTTGTGTATTTGGCTAAATTGGTTAGTGGTAAAACACTTTTGAGTACTGGTACTTCAGTCTTTTTCTGTGAACCAGAAACTGTCTATCATCACAGCTACACTGAGAAACACCCCAATGCTGAGGAGATGAACACTGTTACAAAGCCTCAAGAACCACATGGAAAACCCTGTTCTCAAATAAATGCAAGACTTGAGGCGTAAATGGAAAAACTCAGCTTGAAACACGCAACTATTAAAGGTATAATTTTTATCAGAGACAGGATATCAAGCTGTTCAGCAGCACAATCCATGAGGTTATACCTCACAAAGAGGAAATACCCCTTTTAATGCAAGTTTAGACCAACAGAACATCATAGGTCAGGTGAAATACACACCTCCTTTATGGAGTAAAACTTTTTTTTTTTGTAGAGACAGAAACTGATAGACCTGCCTATCAGAGACTTATTTATTTTTTAAATTGAAATAACACTGAAGATTTCTGTATTGAATATTTTAAACACTTCACTTTTCCTCTCTGCTAGCCAAATGAATAGTGAAAAATAAAATGAAAAATGGATGAAAAAACACAAGCTACCAGAATTCTTCCCTCCTCCCTGTTTGGAGGAAATAAATTCCCTATTTGGAAGAAATAAAAAAATCACACAAATTCTCCAATATTTCAACAAATGCAGTATCACTCCAACAGCTACTTGTAAACCCCCAAATTCTCATTTTTTTTAACCTGAAGTTAACCTTAAGAGTTATATTACAGCTGCATTACCACTAGCCAAGAAAAAAGAAAGAAAAAAATTTGTTGTTCTGACCTATGTGTCCAAAAGAACAGGGGAAGAAACAGAATGTGTGGACTCCAACTACAAGGGATGAGGGTGCAAGATCACTTTTTTACTGAAATAAAATAGGCTTCTGGGTTTTCAATCAATATCTGATAGCACAAAGTTTAATTACCTCCTCGATAGCTTTTTGCCTTCTTTCTTCTGTCTCCTTATCAATTCTAAGTAACAAATGAAAAACAACTCAATTATCAAAACCATCACTAAGTAGGAAAAGATATAAAGTCCAGCCATATAATAATTTATAGATGTCCAAGAGAAACTTTATAAATTAAATTGCACTAAACCCTAAATCTTATGACGTTTTCACTTTTACATGCAATAATCTCATACTGTAAATTTAGAAATATAAATGCACTTCTCAATTCAGTTGATTTGAAAAAGATTTGTACCATTTAAAAATACATAATAGCAAATATTCTGTTTACGCAGCATGCCTGGACTAAAACTCAATCATAACTTCCATGGTCTTCCAAAATAATGTCATATGAATATATTTTACTATTAAAGTTAACATGAGATTAGACTTGCACTATAAAACCAAGCAGATTGAAAAACTAAGCTGTAAGGAATTAAAGGGCAACTGAAAACACTCCTGGAATTTGCACACTCAAATTCCTGACAGCCCACTTTCCCAGAGTTCTCCCTAGTCAAATTCCCTGTCTGCCACAGCTTCTTCAGTACCATATTTAAGTTTCTAACAATGAATATATCTCCTTATGCAGCCTTTAACATACTTTTAAAAAAAATATTGTAGTTACTTCATGATGTGTGAGATTCTATATTTATATTTCCTCTAACAGTCACCTTTAAGCCTTTCAGTTACTACAATGTCATTTATTGTAAATTTTTTTTAAGCTTATAAATGTTCATCATCCTCTTAGCTGAATCACCCAATACTTTCATTCACAGTTCATATACCTGAATTATCCTTTAATAACTTCAGAAATCAGTCAGATAACAAGATATTATTAGATACACAAGCACACATAGATGTGCCAAATACATAAACTCCCACAGCTCTCTCTTTTATGCTTATCAAACTTCAAATACATCTGCAATGTTTGGACACGCCACCTTCAATTACATCTGCTTAAATGATGCTAAAGTGATAGATCTATGGAGGCACTTGCAGAGCTATTGTACTAAAAAAAAACAAGCATACAATCACTGTGTATTTGTGTATATGTATGCACTGAAACATGCAAGCACGGACACAGCAAATCTATCCACACTCAAACTAGCCTCTTTCTAGTCACAACAGATTTTTTTTAAAAAAAGAGCCACAATGATTATGAAACAGTGGGACAGACTGAATGGACCCACTGAGACAATGCATGTTTTCACTTTTATATCTATGGGACATGTCACTCATCACTGGAATTGTCACCCAGGTCATCTCCATTAAAGCTTGTTTGTCTGAATAAGATTCCAGAAACAAGGTAATTAATTCCCTAACAAATTAAGGTTTAAGACTTTAAAACGTATATAGAGCATTAGTCTGAAACCTACTGGCTACTAGAGTAAGGACAGGGTACATTAAGACCTGGTGATTCAGATACAGCTGGGGACAGTTATAGTTCTACAGCTTTTATGATTCAAAAAGAGAGATGTAGGTTCAGTCAGACATTAAAAACAGTAGGTTACTTCACAGTATTTTTTATGAAGAGGGTGTTGAAACACTGGAGCAAGTTACTTGGAGAGGTGGTAGATGCTCCATCCCATGAAACATTCAAGATCAGGGTGCATGAACCTGAGCAACCTGATATAGATAGGACTGGTTTATTATTCTATTCCTGCTTCATGCAAGTCTGTATCTGAGAAATGCACAGGAGAGTCTTCAGGATTCACCATTAAAGCCTCCTCTTGGCATGTTATTCTCTACCACTTGTGTAAAATTATCCCTCAAGTTCCAAATATCAAGACTATTTTACCCACCCATTTTCCTCATGCAAGTTATTTTCAGAGAAAGGAAAGAAGTTGAGATAAGGTCCCCAAACTGCTTCAAATAACTAGCACTGGTGCCCCCTCCTTCATATTAAGTCTAATCTATACCTTTGAAATAGAGTACTGTGGCTTCCCCAGCTCGTTTTCCCACGTCTACCCTTTCTGCAGGAGCACCAGAGACCAAAGAAGCCTCACTATGGAGCATTCTGAGAAGATAAACTGTGTTGTAACAAGGAGCAAAAGAGACAGCCTGTTAATGATCACTGGCAAGACATTTTCTTGCTTCCACTAACTGCTTTTATCTGGCTGTCTTCCAAACTGCAATCAGAGTGGATCAGCAGCTCTTAACTTTAAAAGGCAACACAGAGGTAGCTTCTTTTAAATATTATATCCACATCATGTAAAAATTGTGTTAAAATATTTGAATAAAAAGTCTTTAATGCTATGCTGAAATGTTAATAAAATAAATGAGCAAGTGTTCTTGTATTAAAGCGAAGTTAGCTGCATAAAAATAGATTGTAAGTTACCTAGCATGGCTCAAATACATTCCTTGGCGTCGAATGTCTTCCGAGTCTATTTCCACGGGATTTATTAGAGCAAGCTGATCAATAGACCATCTGAATTTTCCTGGTGTCTAAAAAAGAGAAACGGGCATCTTAATGCTTACTATTCTAAAAAGATTAAACCACAAGACAAATCTCAATGGAACAATACAATCACAGCTTCCATATAGTTTCTATCAAAAACAATCAAAAGTGTTTCTATTTAAATGATCTACTCTAAAAAAAAAGTAAGTCAGGCTTCTTATCCTGCTAGTAATGGTATTACAATAATTTACAACATAACATTAAGTGTAAGGTTACAGCTGGTATTTACAAACCAAGGCATCAGTTTCTTCCCAATTTCTAAGGACAGGTATACTAAAGATATGTAAAGATTGGGGTGAACTTAAATTGCTTCTTGATTGCCACAACAAAACCCAATTCAGAAATAAAGCAGTTTTACCCTTTTCTTTAACAAAGTACTATTCAAATATATTTGGAAAATAATCTACCAAGTGAGTCTTTTTTAGTTTCATTAGCAGTTTCATCTCTACTGCTTATCAGAAAATAATTTCAATTGCAAACCAGTATGTAACTTGCAACTAAAAAAAAAGTTACAGATACACAAAATCATTGACTTGAATACATGAACAGCTCACAGCATTTAAGTTTTATTTGCAACAAGCCTACTTAGCCTCTATGTAGAAACTGGTTTTCTCCACTTTAAGTAGGATTAGAGTACTACATCCAACAACTGGTCTTTATCTACTTTCTACTGGTTTTAGGACTCAACCACTAATATCTAAAGACAAAATAAACTTAGGAAGGGAGGAAGACTAAGTGGCAATATTAGTATTTAAAAGCAGCCTAGTTCTGTAAAGTTAAGAAACTCCAAATGCCATCAAAGTTCTTTAACTTGTTAACATATGTTGAAGCACACTAAATAAAATACCCTTTTTAATGAAATATTTATTTGAAAATATTAACACTGTATCTCTACAGTTACACAACTAACAACTAGATCTTACAGATGAGGATTTCGTCGACTTAAAGACAGAAGGACTGGAAACAATCTGCTCCTGAAGAGTATAGTAATCAGTGGGACTTTCAAAAGGATTCAGGATTGTGACTCGTCCTGGAGTTTCTGGTGCTATCTGCATTTTAGCTTCTTCTGTATCACCCATAACACTAAGCAATACCTGAAAAAGAAGGAGAGCAAGATTAAGGAAAACCATGAAATCACACTTTTGACATTTCAGGGCTACCCTGAAGGCTTTGGGAAGAGCTAATTTATCAGTTTAAGGCACCAGCAGCATTTCGAAAACCAAGTTAGCTACGGCTTGAACCTAATGACATGAAGTTGGTAAATACGGCTGCTACGAACAATTACAAACAGAAACTATGAAAACGAGTTAAGAAAGAACACGAAGAGTGGGATTAAGAAAATCAAACAAGCACCCAAACAAGGGCAAAACAACAAGCAAACAAGACAAAGTCCAACAAACAAACCAAAAACCCCAGCTAAGCACCAGCAGAGACCGAACGGCCGTTCTGTCCCGTCCTGCCTGCACACGGGGCCAGCCCGGCTGCGGGCGGGGGGACGCGGTGCTGCCCGAGCGGCCGGGGCAGCAATAACGCCCCGGGCAGGTCCCGCTCCGCCCGGGCGCTGAAACCGCCCGCCCCCCGCCTCAACGGGCCGGGGGCAGCGCCAGCCCTCGCGGGGCTGCGGAGGGAGAGCACCTCCCGCGCCTCCGAC